TTTGACAATTGAAAACACCAGGGAGGGGTCCTCTCTTATTGAGCAATTTGTCACCTTGTGCTTTGTCGAATTCAAAGCGAGACTCATAGATTCGTGCTGCGACCGACCAGTGACCGCCATTTCCCGCGATGTTTTACAGCAGCCTACAGGCTGCAATTTTGAAAAGTATTTATTCCAACGTTAATCTGAAAGTTAAACAAGTTATCTGTCTCAAGGCAATTTACCGTGGCCATGATGTTGTCACTGTGTTACCTACTGGATATGGAAAGTCGGTAATATTTCATCTTCTTCCTTCGTTGTTCCTCGACAAAGTCAACTGTGAACGTGGAGCAGCTTATCCCGTAGTAATTGTGGTTTCTCCTCTAAATGCGCTGATCAAAGATCAGATCAGAAGGCTCCGAGAAGGAAATATTAAAGCAGCCATATTAAGCATGAGGAACGAAACAAACTCAGAGGATTTGGAATTGGATTTCGGCGACACCAACCTCTCGCAGCTAAGAGATGCGCAATACAAAGTCATCTTTGCACATCCTGAAGCCTTCATAACTTGCAAGCAAGGAATAGAGTTGTTCCAAACTGAGAAATATCAAATGAATGTTCACGCCATTGTAATTGATGAAGCCCATTGTACTTTGGAATGGTGAGTTTGTGAGTAATTTATGTGGACAAAACTAATAGAAACCAAGAGTGTATTTATAAGCTCAGTGCTCATTATTATTCGTGAAATTGAGGTTATGCAGTTATTTCATTGTTGTCTTAATACGTACATGTATGGGTAATTCTTTGTATAGCAAAACCTTGCTGAAGCTTCCTCTGTCTTTCCGTACAGTCGTATAAAATTTCAAACAATAAATATTTTTCTAAAAAGGCCCATGGCAGATAAGAATGCTAAAATATCCTCAAACAATTTTCCCTTTTTTCTTTTGTTTATTAGGGGAGATGATTTCAGGAAAGACTACTCCCAATTGGCAATGCTGTGTGCCACTTTTCCACAAGTGCCAGTTGTTGCATTAACTGCAACAGCAAATAAAGCAGATGTCAAGGCAATTAAGGATTCCTTGAACATGAAAAATCCATTGGAAGTGATAGGGGATCCAAACAGGGCAAACATTTTTTACAAAAAGGTGTTCCGTAAAGGTGACGACATAGACTTCTTCCAAGAACTACTCAAGCCTATGGCAAGTGAATTGAAAGAAACTAAATTAAATTATCCGTTGACAATAGTGTACCTTCCCTTGAAATGGTGCGGGTTTGCATTCAAATTTTTTGACAAACATCTAGGAAAGGAACAGTACTATCCCTTGGAAGCTAAAGCCTTGCCTGAAAATAGACTGTT